GGGGGGGGGGCAACACTCTCCTGGAGTGAAGACTGAAGAGATCACGGTGACGAATAGGCTCGCCACCACCGCGGGCTGCGGAGTCCTGCACGAACCAAGTCTGCCAAATAGTTTCTATCCATCAACTCGGGAGCGAGTAAGAGAGGGAGGGCATGTGTAGAACGAGCGTGCGTGCCTGCGTGCGGGTACGTCGGGTACGAGCACGCGTGTGTGTGTGTGTAACTGGTGTAGGTGCGAGTGTGTATGTGTGTCGCTGAGTCCAATTCTATTGAGATTATTATCGCAGTGGGTCAGGTCGCTCGGCGACCGTGGCCCGGCCCCGGGAGCCAAACAGGAAGACGGAATGGGAAGAAGAGATTGGAGTTAGGGCGGGAGCAGGACGAACGCCATGGGCGGCGGCAGGGCCAGCGAGGGAAGGTGCCGAATCCGGTTAAACTTTTCCCGTTACCTTCGACCGAAGCGCACACAGAAGTAACCCCTTTCCCCCTCTATCTCTCTCCCTCTCTCGTTCACTCTCATCTTACCCTCTCCTTCCTCGCCTTTCCTTGCGAGTAATTCGATAGAGTGACCTTCCCCCCTAACCCCTTTGGGGCCCTCCTGCGGGAGCACGCCCCTGCGGCCAACAGGCAGGGGGGGGGGCAGGAGGCCAGAGCGATGGGATGTGCACCTGCGCGAGGGCCTCGCCCGTCCACAACAACAGCGCACGGGGCCAACAGGGGTGTGGGCGAGAGGGGGGTGAGCCCGTGTGGCCCACAGCCGGGGGGCACGACGTGCGCGCTTGTGCATGCTGGGCACCTGGACGGCAGAGGCCTCCACGGCAGTGTGGCTCGCACCCCCGGCCACAGTGCCGCTGCAGCAGCGCCTCAGCCTGTAGCTTGCTGTACCGGACAAGGCCCGGATAGGCTCAAAGGGAATGGGCGAGGAGGGTTGCGTGGCGTGGCGTGGCGTGCCGTTGCGAGGCGTGGCGGGCCCTTACCGAGCCCATTACGCTCACTACACATTAGGGGCCCTCCAGGGGCACGCCCCCAGCGGGCGGCGCCGCCACCTCACCCACCCTCAACCGGGCGGGAAGGGGTGGCTGGAGAACGGGAAGGGGGGGGGGGCGGAGATAAGGACGGGGAGAGGAGGGAGAGGAAGGTAGGAAGGTGAGGAGAGAGACGCAGAGAAGAAGGAGGAGACGTCTAACGCGCGGGCAAAAAGAAGCACTGCACGCCACAAGGTCGTTACATCGCGCCGTGCACCGTCAGGGGGCGCCAGCAGCGGCGGCGCGGCGCTGCCCGGTCTAGGCGCTGCTGCAGTAGTGCCCCTTTGTCTACGCCCCGCGCGCCGACCAGACGCCGGCCTGATTGGGGCCGACAAAGACCAAGGGCGTGGTGGTGCTGGGGGGCAGGGCGCAACTAATAGATGGTTATTTCCCAGCGGG